TAAACGTTGTACATTTGCTGTTATGTTAAACTTGTATTAAAGTTTTTCTTCATTACCCAATCAAGCCGTCTCCAACCATTATCAACTTTTTATATCTTGTATATTGGTAAGGAAATTGGTGTAAAAAGTTTTGAGACGGCTTGATTGGGTAATGAAAAAAAATATTATCTTGTAGCCCACAGTGGCACAGCGGTATGGCTACTGACTTACAACGCTTGAAACCGGGTTTCGATACCCGTGGTGGGCAGAGCACAGATAGCCCATTGTGTAGTTTTGTGCTCAATTCCAAACAAACAATTATCTTGTAGTACATACATTTAATACCGTGTTGTCTCGAATCAAAATAGTAATAATTTAAAAATAAAGAAATGTGCTGTGATGTAGTATTGAGCTGTCTTTCCTTTAGATTTTGATATTGACATAAGTGGTTTCTTTATAAAGAAATATAGGTGCAGACTTATTTTATTTTTGTGTTTGTTTCTTTTGTCTCACTTGACTGTACATATACCGCCACGTTTTCGTTTAATTAAATAGACTGAGAGAGGGCGCGGTAAACCTTTTGAATGCGTGAATGACTCCGGAAATAGCATATGTCGTCATAAGGCTCGAGAACACACACAAATTAATTACACACGTGATTTATCATAATCTTCTTTTCTCGATTTGATCTATTTTGAAATTTTATTAAAACTTGAGGGCTCGGAACACCTACAATTTGGGTTTCAATAAACACGGTGGGCAGAGCACAATACTGTCCATTGTGTAGTTTTTACTCAATAACAAACACATAAATATATTTCATTTAATTGAAAAACCTGTGTTTGTAAGAAATCTATTTATAGTTATACTTAGAAAGGGTGTAAAAACTGGGTGTTCATAGTGTTATCCTAAAAATCGATTTTAGAAAAAATATTTGAAATTTAGGTCAGAACTTAATATGTCAAAATACACTGTGGTAATTAAGTTAATGCACTGCCACCACACGTCGTGGTACGCAACCAAAGACTGAGAAACATGAAGAAGTTGGTTATTTCGTGCTTGGTTTTAAACTTGGTGCAGTTGTTCATTTACATAGATCAATGTTAACGTCTGTTTGTGTACTCTGGCGTTTTCTATAGCTAGTTGTTCTCTTAAATTCTCTTCAAGTTTGGAGCCTAGGATTAAGGTATCTGTTTTTGCGGCGCAACGGAAAATACCAAAATTATTTCTGTGTGACTTAGAAAGGCTGGCAATAACTATTGTTGCAAGCAAACTCCCTGTATTTTAGAAAATATTACATTTAATTCCTTGTGATTTGGAAAGATTCGCAATAATTATTGTTGCAAGCAAACCCCCTTATATTTTGGCAAACAATAAACTAGTTTCTATGTGATTTGAAAAGATTGGCTATATCCATTGTTGCAAGCAAACCCCCTTATATTTTGGCAAACAATAAACTAGTTTCTATGTGATTTGGAAAGATTGGCTATATCCATTGTTGCAAGCAAACCCCCTTATATTTTGGCAAACAATAAACTAGTTTCTATGTGATTTGGAAAAGCTGGCAATCTATTTTCATATGATTTTGAAAGATTGGCTATATCCATTGTTGCAAGCAAACTCCCTATATTTTGTCTTTCTATATCTAATTATTTACATATTACTTACATTTATACAAATAATTATGTTCATTTATTATGTCAAACTAAAAGATAAAATATTAGTATTTTAGTGAAGTTGAATCATATGTAATCGCATTTTTCCAATAAAACTAACCACTAATAACCATCTTATTTTCTATAACTTCCTAATTTGTATTCAGTAAAATCATAATAAACCTTGCATAAAATTTACATAACAGTTAGGCTAAATTAATTTATTTGTTTTATATAATCACTTTAAGCTCACAAATTACCTTCAACTTTCAACTTTACCTAAAGATCGCTATAATATGCCACTACAGCTGGATACGATATCCAAAAACACATTAGTCCATGTTAAAGTTATCATTAATGAATACATCCATCACAACAAAACAAACAAAGAAATGCAGAAATTCTATAATTGCAGAGTTAGTTTATATATTTCTGTGTAAAATGTGCTTTTGAAAGTTACATAAAAATATCTAAAATTTGGTTTTCATGTATGTAAATAATAGATCATTATGCTAATTTCATCAATTAATATTTTGCTTCTTCGTTGAATTTCGAGCAACGCTACATGAGGGCTATCTGCGCTAGCCGTCTGTAATATAGCAATGATAGACTAGAGGAAAGACAGCTAGTCAACACCACTAACTCTTGGGATATTCTTTTACCAACGAATAGTTGGATTGACCATCACATTATATCGCTACCACGGTTGATAGGGCAAGCAAGTTCGGTAAGGGGATTCGAACCTTCGATCTGCAGATTGCGAGTCGAGAGCCCTAACCACGAGTTCATACGAAGCCTTAATCGATCAAAAATATTTTTGTTTGTTTATGTAGATATATATATGTACTTTACGTATATATGTGTGTAAGAATGTATTACACTGACTTCGTTGACTCGATCAGAGGATAAAAATAATTACTCTTTTTGAAATTCAATAAAGTGAATACATATCAAATGGGAAATACTTGTATAATCTATATATATATGTGTGTGTTTATGTGACGATTTGTTTGTTTGTTAAGTACAATGGTTATCTGAGCTCTGCCCACCGCGAGTATCGAAACCAGATTATTAACGTTAACTTCCCGCTGAGCCATCGGCGGAAATATGCGACGAAGAGTTTTAGTCACGACATATTTTGAGGTTTAAGAATCGAAACAGAAACTCAAATATATATTTCATTCATATCTCTAATATTTTAGTGTAATTTGTGAAGTGATTCTTTTCGACCTAGTTCATAGTTAAAGATTCAACAAAATTTTTTGTTGTTTGTTAAGCGCAAGGCTGCGCAATGGCTTCTCTG